AAAAAAACAACAAACCCTCATTTCTATAATTAGATTCAAACCAACGTTTCCATGTGAAACAGCTGGCAGAAAGCGCATTCCTCAGCCGCCATGAAGCCATCCGATTCTGCTCAGTTCGGGAACAAATGTCGCCCACAGTATTGACTGCTGACTTTAAATAAATACACGCTCCAATACATGCACGTCACTGTTTGTGACTGGCTGATGACACATTGCTCGGACACAGCAACAAAGACGGAAAAAATGAAGGCAGGAGAGAAGTTCTAACATTCGTGAGATAGCTGTGTAAAATGGTGCCTGATTTGATGAAATAAATAGTTCCAAGGACCCATCAAGAAATGCAAAGAGTGCACTAGGAATACTAAAATAACCAGGTCATATTTCATAACCCATACCCGTTATTACAGTGTCTTTCAGCATTACAAGACTTCTCCATGTACCTCTCTAAAAAGAAACCCCAAATGAAAAAAAAAAAACGTGCTGCATTTGCAGACGAGCTACAAAAAGAAGAAAGCCACCAGAGTAAAAAGCCGACGTTGAAAACCCCGTGCACTAACCTAACATTTTTCTCCGCAATTGCTTTTTGCGCAATAACCTCTCAAACGTAAAACTCACGTCGTGAACTCGATCATTCTGCTTAAGTACCTAATTAGGAAAACTGAACCGTCTCCATTTTATATAGCTGAAAAACCACAACAAATCTGCGATCCTTGTTTTGTGTGAACAAACGTTACTAATGTTAGATGATGTAATGCCTTTTATTCACTGCGAAATCTATAACATTTATTAATAGATCGTGACGTAACTGGCATTAAAAGGCTCCTACGAGTTATGGTGAACTCGTGAAACAGCTCTATGATGAACTATGTTTTATCTTTCCGTGAACGTTTAATATCAAGACACAACACCTTAGCGCAGGCTACCGATGCTAGCTGTTATTGTGCAAGATGGACCCCTTCTTTCTACCAACTGCCGAGCTCACAGGCTAACTACCAACCCCATCCCCCCATGTTTGTGTCTGTCAAGCGCACTAATATCGCCTTTACCAGCTGCTATTTCGCAGTTTCACATAAAATCCAAGTTATACAGATTGCACTTCTTATGTTCGATGCTAAGGTTAACTGCCTTCGCGAGTTTTTCCTCGACTGACACACTAAATAAACTTACTTCAGTCCTAGTCCGTGGAGATGTTGCCCTATTAATCGTATGACATCTTCCTCCGCCTGCGTTAGTCGTTTCTTCTTTTTCAACGAGCCGACCTCCGAACTCGAGGCCGTAGAAGCAGCCGAAGTCCCCGTGCAAGGCCCTACTGAAGATCCATTACTGGTACCGACGTTATTACCGTTATCTGTGCTGGAGAGAAGGCCATTTGAGTGAGTTCCTCCGACCGAGGAGGACTCCCCGTTTTGTGCGCTGTTTAAGCAAGAGAGCTCCGAGGATTCTTGTCCTTGTCCAGCCCCGTTTGCCTGCATACTGCTGCTGAGGTTGTTGACAACACTTCGGTTAAAGTGGATGGCAGAGGTGGCTTGAGAGTATGCACCGCGTCCTAGGACAACTCCGGAAAGGCCTGTCAAAACTGCTGAAGCCCCGGGCTCTCCTGCTCCCTCCACCGCCGAGGCTCGGTGCTTCTTCCGCGGGGGCGGCGACGCTCCGCCGGTGTCCGAGTCGGAGGAGGAGGAAGCGGAGGCCAGAGTTTCCTCACCGAGAGCGGCCGTGGTTAGAAGCCGGCGAAGCTCCGGGTGGGAAATGAAGGTTAAGCTTCCAGATCTGAGGCCTCGTTGTCAGGCTTAGAGCGTACTGTCACTGTGGAAGCTCTATCAGTTAGCCCGTTTTGTTGTTGTTTCTCTCAAAACAGCTGCAGCTCTAATGGAGTCCTGACGCCCTGACGTAACCGGAAATTCCTACACTACCAGGCTTCCGGGTAGAATTATAATCCATGGGTGGTGCATGAGAACCTAGTTAGCATAATAATGATCAAAAAACAATAACATTTCATATTAAAGTTAATTTTAGTGCTCCAGAGACTTGAAGTGTAATATATCCGGAATTTTGAATTAGCGTAATGAGTAAATCTAGTGTAGCTAGTCTACTGATCACTAGCTAACACAGTGACAAAATAAGTAAATGAAAATGTGTCCTCGATATCTTCGTATCCAAGGCCTAAAGAATGGTATAAAAGTTAACTTCATCACTAAAATACTATACACGTAATCGCGTTAAGAATAAAAATAAATGAACATAAGTGTTCCCACTAAGGTCCATCTATGAGATTTAACTTAAGCTAAGACTATGGGAGACAAAAAAAATGTGAATCAACCGCCATGTGTTATTTGTACTGTACTAATACGCTCTTTATTAGTTTGAATAACAACATAAGCCAACTATTTTCATTTAAACCTTACAGGAAAATTAGTTGACTTCGGCTGAACAAGGGTTTATTTTCTGGTATCTTCATAAGTGATTGAATTAATGAATCACTCAGTCAGAAGACTAGTAACCAGGCCCAAATAAACATGAACTTGGATCAGTGTAAACTTGTTCTTTTGACTGCTCCCTTTAGGGTTGCCACAGCAGATCATCTGCCTTCATCTCACCCTATTTCTCCTCTATCAAATCATCCCTCGACATGTCTTCCTTGGTTACATCCATGAATCTTCTCTGTGGGCTTCCTCTTTTGCTCGAGGCCTGGAAGCTCAATATTTAACACCCTTTGTACAGTATATCCACCAGCCCTCCTCTGCACATGTCCAAACCTTCTTGCCTCTTTAACTTTGTCTCCATACTATTCAACCTGAACTGTCTGATGTACCCATTTCAAATCTTGTCCTTTATGGTCAGTCCCAATGAAAATCTTAACATTAGATCAGACCAAATTAAAGAATGAAAATCAATTATATTAACCATGAGAATGTATTAACATGAGTGTATTATCAGACTAAATTAAACATGGCAGTACACTTATTTGGTACTTAAGCACTGTCTTGGACAAATGGTTTTGGCAAGCAGACCAGTTGATGTTGGATCCTGAAGTCAATCCCACAAGGCAGAATAATCAAGAAGTTTAATGCAAAAATGTTTTATTAACGCAGTATAATTGCAATGTGATTACCTTACATCATTTAAAAAAGAAACTCCAGTGCAAGATACATAAAAAAGAAAGGAAAAAGGAAAGTCATGTATTATTTATCTACTGAAAACTTGTAATTTACATACGTTTTGGCTAGGCAAACACCCGACCCTTTTTGAAACAGTGCATACCGATAAAGATGTTGTATGCCTCTGACCTCTTCCATTCGTTTATTCAACATTAATATGAACTAGCTGATACCAGAAGCTACTTCATGATCTTGTAGATGAGCAGCTTTGACCACTCTTACATGCTCAGTTCCTTCAGTACCTTTCTTGGTACCTTTTCTGTTATGCACTGCTTATTTCAAACCTCCACACAAAAATACAGTGGGATTCGCTTCTAGGTTCTGACTAACCCTACATTTATTCTTTGTGTGCTCTTTTCTTGTTTAGGATCATTATCCTGTAAAAAAAAAAGTCTACATCTGCTTCAACCCAAGCTTTCAGACACATGGCCTCACATTACCTTCATGCGCCCTTTGATGTGAATTCATATTTGGATTGTTCATTATAAGCTGTGTGCTCCCAGAGGCAGTGAAATAAACCTAAGCCAGAACATTCTCGCCACAAATTGTATGAGGTTACATTGCCCCCCAAAATTGTCTTTGGTCTGGAAAAAAAACAATCAAACCATGTTTACCGTTAGTGTAAGCAATGAACTCTATTTGTGCAGAAAAAGTTATTCTAAAAGCCCTTGCCTTTGCATCTGTGTTCACCGACAAAATGTAGTTTTACTCTAAAATCCTCTTAGCCAAATTCAACCTTCCATGCAGCTTGATTTTATTCACTCTCTCCCTGATTGCAGAAAGATGCATTTTGACCCTTACAGTTACCTGTAGATGCTGATATAAAATTTCTGGCTTTTTAGAGACTCTTTCGAACATGAAACAGCAAACACTTTGGTGTAATTCGATGGAGCGGCCAATCCTGGACAAACTGATAGTTCTTTAAATGTATAATACTACTTATTGTGGGATTATTTATTTCAGATAATTTGGAGATCTTGTTTAAATCACCTACCAGACATAAAAGCATACATAATAATTTTTCTAAAGGCTACAGAAATCTCTTTAGGTCTATGTACGATGACCACACAAAATACATAAACACCTCACCTTGTCACAGGTCATAGTCTGTAGGGATGCGTTTAATTTTCATACCGTTTTTCAAGATTTAAACAATGTCCTTTTTATATGTGAGCTTATAAAATTTATTCACAGGGACTGTATCAAAGAGGATGAAGTGTTTGCTTTTTCAAATAATGAAATGAAAAATGTTGAAAAAAATCAGACATAGATTTTTGTTTTTCTCGTGTCTGTAGCACTCTGTGAATCAAGTGCAGCAATCTTTAGCTCAGGAGCTCTCTAAGACATTCTTAATTTGTTTACAACTTTACAAAACATGTTTCTTGAAACATTTGTCTATAAAAGTCCTGATAATTGTGCATTAGCGTTTTTGTTGTGTCAGTCTACCGTCATATTCTTCACATGGGCTATGAAGCGCACAAAAAACAAGATCCTGTGAAATTCATGGCTGACAAAACTGACATTTTGCTCAGGCCTGTTATTGGGCTTATGCCATTTGAAGAGATTAAAAAAAAAAGTCAGTGAAGGTCTCCAACTTGGTGTGGAAGGGTAGTAGTTACTGCACCATCTTTGGTATTGGGTTTGTCTTTGCCTTTCATGAAAAAGGTCAGCAGCTCGCCTTTCCCTTTGACATATATGGGCCCTCTTCGGATAAAACGAAAGCCGTACTCCTTCAGGATGTCATAGCAGTCCTCTACAACCTGAGGTCCAAGTAGAACATAGCATTTAGAAGAGATGGACACAATAAAAAGGATGCTTAAATTTGATGCATCTTTGGTTTTGGGAACGTTTGGTTGTGCTACCTGAATGTTTCCCATCACTCCAGTTGACTCCATTCTGCTCGCCACGTTGACCGTGTTGCCCCAGATGTCATAGTGAGGTTTACGAGCTCCGATCACTCCGGCCAGAACTGCTCCTTTATTTAGACCTTAAGGGATCAAAAAGGAGACATGAACACATGTGCACATTTGCAGTTGGACACTCAGACTCACTCTCAGGTCCAAACACTGACCGATTCGTAGCATAAAGTTGTTGAAGGACTGCTTGTTGAGGTTGTTGAGGGTGACTTTCATGGCCAAGGCAAAGTCTGCCAGGTCAGCGAGGTGCTGCCAGCGCTCAATCAGCAACTGGTCCTCTGGCTGTAGACAACCAGTAAATAGCTCTTATAATTATTAGAATAATCACTTTAGATAAAAGGCTTCAACAGATTGGTATAGACATATAATGCCGATAGATTATCACACCTTGCGGTTGCCATATCCATTTGTGTTGCTTTCCGGTGTGAGGCCTGACGCGGCCATGTAGGTGCTTCCAATCGTCTTGATCTTAGTAATGCACCTGAACTCGTCCCTGTCTAATAACTGGTGGGGAAAGTGGACACTGATTAGTTTTACTTCCTGGTGTTACGTTCATGCTTTGAGGTCACGTTTAGTTTAGTGTACGTTTAGTGTGCAACATTGCCAGAACTCACGCTGTCAAAGTCGGAGATTATCTCATTGAGAATCCTCAGACACTCAATGCCCCCGTTATTGATGCTCTCCTCAGTGTAGAAATCAGAAAAATTGGGGATGGATGCAAACATTACCCCTATTTCATCATACCCCTGGCTGTACAGCTCCTATACAAAACAAATGACTTGTTGGGTCATAAAAAACAGTTTTTAAGCTTATTGCTACTAATATGTAATTATAAGATAGGCCACAAGATGGCACAGTACAGCATCACCTGCGGTACCTTCATTACTTTAAGCTGCTTTTGAACAACTGTTTCTGCTGCTCACACAGAAGGTGTAAGCTCAAATGGTTTTAAATCGCAAAATGCTGTTTAATATGGCTTCTCCTCCATTCTCACTCATGTTGTTTTCTCTCCCTGACTCCTATGGTAACAAACTCAACATATATACCTCGTCTCTTTTTTTAGTGCCCAGAAAGTGTTTTGCCACATGCTCTGGCAGCATGTTGGTGACCAACGCTTCATTCCAGCGTCTCATTTCAAAGACTCTCTCTTTCTGATCGTGCACGCCAATCTTCCACAGAAATAGTTTCCTTGACTGTTGCTCCAGCTGCACACAGACACGCAACACAGACAGAATTAATGACATATTTTGAGAGAAACCTATTATGGAAAAATTAGAATTTTGTTGAATAACATTTTCTTGTTCTAACCCTCCGGGTGTTACATAGATGTGACACTCACGTGGCGTGCAAAGAAGTAAAAGCCAATCATCATAACAATAATCATCACTGTCATGAGGTACTTGGATGGCACTATCAATGTTCTGAAAATACAAAAGTGGGATACCATTAGAGACAATACTGTCATTAACAGTGCTGAAAAAAAGTAATTGGCCCCTTAACCCTTAACTGGTTGTGCCACCCTTGGCAACAAGAACTGCAATCAAGCATTTGCAATAACTGGCAAAGAATCTTTCACATCACTGTAGTGAAATTTTGGTCCAGTCTTCTTTGCACACTTGTTTTAATTCAGCTACACTGGAGGGTTTTCAAGCATGAACGGCCTGTGTAAGGTCACGCCAAAGCATCTTAAGACGATTTATGTCTGGACTTTGTCTGGGCCACTCCAAAACATTCATCTTGCTTTCTTTGAGCCATTCAAAGGTGGATCTGCTGGTGTTTCAGATCATTGTTCTGCTGCATAAGCCAAGTGTGCTTGAGCTTCATGGCAGGAATTCATGGTCAGACTTCAGGATTTTCTGGTAAAGAGCAGAATTCATGGTTCCATCAGTTACAGCAAGTTGTCCAGGTCCTGAAGCAGCAAAGCATCCCTGGACCATCATGCTACCACCACCATGTTTGGTGGTATGATGTTCTTTTTACGAAAAGTGTTAGTTTATACCAGAAGGAACAGGACTCAAACGTTCCAAAAAATGTAACTTTTGTCTCATCAGTCCACAGAATATTTTCCCAAATGTCTTGGGGATCATCAAGATGTTTTTTGTAAACTATGAGATGTTCTTTATCTTCTTTTTGGGTTATTATTACTCAAGTTAGCATTGTCTAATAACTATTCAAATTTGTTCGATCATATGAACTATGTAAGTATGACAAATCTGGAACAACCTAAAAAAAACAATAAGGAGTCAAATACTTTTTCACAGCACTGTAGACACAGCAGCAAATCCAACCTAAAGCAAAACACCCAGAATAACCTAAAAGAGACATCTATCGATGATTAGTCATTTCTCACCTGTAGGAGGCAAACTGCATGTAATCATACAGATCATATAGGTCCCGCCAGCTGTAGATATTAACGGCTCCAGTTGCTGTGACAACCAGCACCATGAGGCCTAGTTTAATCAGGTGGCTCACTTGCACCAACATGGTTGTTGCAATGAGTGACATCACAGCCATGAAGCTGTAGTGCTTCGGATTATCTGCACAGCCTCCATCACCGAGCGACTCCAACATTGGACCAGACGTGCTGTTGAAGATCCGAAGGGATGGAGGTGCACAACTTAACTGCAACACAACGAAAAGAAAAAAATCCACTCACTCCAACTGGCAGAAAAATTGACAACTTGACGTTTTGAGCTAAAACTTGTGCCTATGTCGAGAATAACCCGAATACGACAACAGTAGTAGTAGTAGTACTTCATTCTCTTCAAAGGGCGACTGTCACTTCTACATGACAGCCTAGCAGAGAAATGAACGCTCTCTTTAGCATCCGCTATTCTCTTCAGCTCACAAAGGCAGCAGCGTGTGTAGCAAGTTGCTCCTATGGGGCTGTGACAAATGAGCCAGCAGGCAGCAAGACAGACAACTAATAGACCCCACTGGGATCATACTGTCAGACACATAAAAGGCAGCGATAGTCTGATGAGGACAAAGTAGGAACACACTTATGGAAAGTCGAATGCACACACACTCAGATTGGGAGCTATGATGTTGTACATTAATCCCAACTGGAATTTCCTGGAAACTGATTGTATGTGTTTTCCCGTTATGACATTAAGTTATATAACGAAATGACAAAAAAGTTCATCCATATTGCCACGATTACGGACATGCACACATGCAGTTTTACCAAGTTTCTTGAAGTCGTACCATGTCAGCGATCACAGCCATGGTTAGAACAAATATGCTTGCCATGGCCCACGTGTTTCTCGCCCATCGTGTGCGATCAATCCACATTGAGAAAGACACCAACCTCTTGGAGAACATCTGTGATAAGCAAATGTTAAAAAGGTGGCCATCTTTTATATAGTGTAGTGTAAACTGTAGAACTTTCATTCTGTCCTGTGTGACAATAAAATCAGTACTGCTTTGAGAAAAATTCCTTATCAATTGTAAAAACCAATCAAAATGCTAAATATCACTTAGCTAAAGCCCTGCGAGAATAAATTTTTTACAGGACTGAATTCAGTGCTCTGAAAAGCTAAGTACACCCTTAATGCTTCCATAGGACTTAAGACCTTAAGAAGCAGCAAAGTGCTGCAAATCAAATGCACATGATTAGCAAGTGTGAGCACCTCTATAAAAGCAGAGGTTTCGTCAGCTTGCTGATTTGGAGCATTCAGGTGTGTGTTAACACAATGGCACAATCTTTCCAGTAGTGGACGTCCCAGCAAATTCACCCCAAGGTTAGACTCTGCAATTCTCAGAAAACTGCAAAAAACATCAACAAAAAACCAGGAGCTACAGTACATCTCAGACTCTACAGATCTCAGTTAGCATGTTAAAATTCATGAGAGAACATTTAGAAATAGACCTTATTTGGAAGGGTTGCCAGCAAAAAGCCTCTTCTCTAATTGCAACTTAAAAATAACACAAAACTTCTGGAACAACATCCTTTGGACTTTTGGACATCAATATGGAGATGTACAGCTGTATTGCACAAGACTATATTTGGCAAAAACCAAGCACAATATATCAGCATAAACACCCCAACTGTCAACCACAGTGGTGGAGGAGTGATGGGCTTGTTGTGCAACCACGGGACCTGAACACCTTGCAGTCACTGAGTTGACCACAAACTCCACTGTATAGCAAAGTTTCTAGAGTCCAACTGGGTTGTTCAACAGGATGATCCAGGCACAGCAGCAACAGAAAAGCTGAAAAAGAAAAGAATCAAGGTGCTGCAATGACCTTGTCAAAATCCAGACTTCAACCTGACTGAAATGCTGTGGCGGGACTTTAAGAGAGCTGTGCATGAACAGTGCCCAAGAACCTCAATGAACTGAAGTAACATTGTATAGTAGAGTGGGCCAAAGTTCCCACCCATTGATGTGAGAGACTGATAACATCAGACTGTTACTTCAAGGTATTGTTGCTAAGGTTGCTCTAAAACCTATTGAATCATGGGGTGTACTTAGTTTTTCACATCACCATAGTTTTTAGGCTCTACATTATTGTTAGAGAGCTTTGAACATACTAATCAAAGGCATTTAGCAATTAATTGGTTACCATTGTCGACAATTTACAAAAAAATTACGTTTCCTTTTTTTAAAAAAAATTCTCACCCTGGGGAAGATGGCTGCCAGGGAGCATACTGTGAGTATTAGCAGCAATACCTGTCCTACTGCGAGAGTCACATAGTTCACAAACAACCTAGAAGGAGAACACACATCATCAGACAACGTCCTACAATTTCTAATAAATTATCATGTGCTATCACTACAACAATACATTGGCCAAAGAGTCAGTCCCAGCTGTTACAGGGTGAGAGTCGAGGTATACCCAGAACAAGTGTATAGCAGGGCTAACACAGGGAGACAGACAACCACACATGCTCATACTCATTTAGTATCACCAATTCACCTAACATGGAAGTGTTTGGACTGCTGGAGGAAACCGGCACAGTTACACGGAGAACATGCAAACTCCACATACAAAGGTCTGCTGGGAGGTGATGGTGCTGCACCGCTGTGCCACCCATGCTATAAAGTGACACATACATGATACATAAACTCACAGTGGGTCTATGAAGACCTCCATTGCTGTGATGAAAAGGAGTACAATCATGCAGCAGGAGAAGGCCGCTCCGCTCCTCCTCTCCTTCTCTGAGGAGTAGTGGTCCTCCAACTTTCCATCCACAAAACGGAGAGAAACGGGGTTGATCTCATGATCCTTCATTCTGTCAAAAATGCAGTGAGATTTAGCAGGTAGAAAAGAACATTTTGAAGGACATGGATACTAAAAAGGGGGGATGGGACACCGATTGAGGAGAAGCATGTGGTTACTTCACTGAGTTTGTTTCTTTTCAATTCCTGGAACACCAAATCCGATTTCTATGATTTAGTCTTTAAAATGAATCCTTTTATTGCACTTTTTAAAATTAAATTTATTTAAAGTTTCTTTTTTCTTACATTTTTTGAGTCTCTCTCTCCAGCAGCTCCTGCTGGAGTCGTCTGTTGATGGTTTGTTCCTCGGCTCTGTTAGTCATCTAAGGTTGCCAGTAATGCAAAGAGAAACGCATCAGATACAGACAACATTACCAAGTGAAGCTTTCTCTTTTATAATTGAAAGAAATAATTCACATAATTTATCTTTTTATAAACATATAGATAGGCCTTACTCATGTATACACAAGTAACAACACACTTTAATCTGTGGTTACTGAAATGATGACCGGCAGCTGTAATTCACCTCCTTTTTAGACTCAGTAGGTGTGGACTGTTGTGAGACTGCATTCCCATTGGATGCTGTGGTGTTGATCAACTGTTTGGAATTTCTATTGGTCAATGTACCAGGTGTCTGAGGAGGAGAAGCAGATACGACATCTGTTAATATTACATCAATAACAAAAACAAAAAATGTTCATTTAATTGATTTGATTTATTTTGTATGGGATAAAGGAACAAGACACTCACATTTCCATTGAGTCCATTGGCTTTCTGCTTAGGAACTAGAACTAAGTAAGTGTCAATGCCTTTCTCCAGCAGGTACTCACACCTCTCTCCACCATTCCCTGGCTCCAGTTCAAATTCCCCATGCAGACTGTCTTTTGTGGTCTGGGAAATATGCACTCTCCTAGATAGCATACAAAACTGTGAATTTTAGAAAAAAAAAAAGAACTGCTCTCAGACACACACTACGCAGACACCAAGGAAGCGCACAATTTTCCTACCCAGGAATCCCTCCAGATTCCATTTTATTGGCCACAGTGACATCTGTGGACCAAACATCAAACTGCCAGCGTTTCTGCCCGAGTACTCCTCCCAGCACGGTGCCGGTGTGGACGCCCACGCGCATGTCAACCTCTGTTTGTGTCTTTTCTCGAACGTACCTAGACCATGAGAGAAATCAGGGGGTCACTGGAAAATTAACTGTTGCTCATATTGTTAAGCAGCTTTAAAATTTTAATTGAGCCTTTCCTCTCTAGTTTTTTTCTCTCTATGTGGTGACTTCCTTTCTCCATTATTTTGTCTAAGCATTTTTTTTTTAAATTTACAGTTTTAATTCTAATGTTTTAATAATAATGTTTTCATTGTGTTTTCCTCCCCTATTCCTAATTAGTAAAGTCACTACTTACGAGATGGCTTTTACCATAGCCAGGCCCATCTTTATAGAACACACGGCATGGTCCTCCCTGAAGTCAGGAACACCACAGATGCAATAGTAACAGTCTCCAAGAATCTTAATCCTCAGCTGATGATGTTCCTGTAATGTGAGATCAGACACGGATGTTTACCTCAATAACAGAAAGGTACTGGTACTATAACTCAAACAATCCAATAATGGCATTTTATAGTCTCATAAACACTTCTCAGAACATAATTCAGAAAAAAGATGTTTGTGGAAATCAAGAAATTGTGTCATCTCATCGCTTTGTCTGGCAGAGTGGCTTGAGTTCTAATTCACAATATGCAGTGGTCGGTTAGTTTATAACTTTGAGAACCGCTAAGACTTTAAGTAAGGGGTGAGTCTGCTTCAATTGACAGGTGTGCACACACAGAGCTGTAGCTGATGACTGTCTGCTATTAACTGGACCTCTACACACTGTGCATAGCATTTTCGAGGAATTATCTGACAAATAATATTACTTCTTGTGTTGTACAAATCACCCAAAAGGTTTGCGCTTCAGTTTTGGTGAGCATATTTTTCATATTTTATAAGCCTGTTACTTAGTTAGCAGTAATTAGCATATATCTGTATCTGCTGTATAGTTTATGGATGTAGCCTGCTAACCAAACTTGTTAGCCCTCGCTGATGACTCAGCGTATACCCATTTCCAAACCAACATGGTGGCAGTCAAAACATTAATGTTAAGGTTTTAAAATGTCTAAAACCAATGGGTGGTGTCATGGTGGCTACTAGCTTTACAGAGTCTGTCTGTGCACATGTAGCAGAGTAGCATTCCAGCCAAGCAGAAACTGGGTGCTAACTACAATGGAGGCTAGAGAATAAGTTATTAATGAGGTTGTTACACCAAGTCAAGCTAGCATAGAATTTTGTTACATTTCTACCAACAATAATTCAGAAATATCCAGTAGTAATATATCTTAACAATAGACTCACTGACAACTTTATTAGGCACAGCCGTTCAACTGCTTGTTAATACATAAGTTCAAATGGAGCATCAGCATGGAGAAAAAGTTTGATTTAAGTGACACTGAAGGTGGCATGGTTGTTGGTGTCAGACAGGCTGGTCTGAGTATTTCAGAAACCGCTTATCTACTGGGATTTTCCCACCATCTTTAGAGTTTACAGAGGAAAAAAAGAAAAATATCCACTGAGCAGCAGTTCTCTGGACAAAAATGCCTTGTTAGTTTTAGATGTCAGATGACAAACAACACATTGTTTCAAGCTAAGAGAAAGGCAACAGTAACTCAGATAACCAAATCTTTACAAACAAGGTATGCAGTAGAGCATCTCAGGAGGCACAACAGATCTAACCTCGAAGAAAACTGGACAGCAGCAGAACACCACACCGGGTGCCACTGCTGTCAGCTAAGCAGAGGAAGCTGAGGGTACAATTAGGCTCAACAAAAAGACTGAGAAGTTGTTGCCTAATGTGATGAGTCTTGATTTCTGCTGTAACATAGGGCTGGTAGGGTCAGGATTTGGTTTAAATAACATGAACATATGCATCCAACGTATGCATCCTTGTATTGTTAGTGTAATGGTATGGAGGACATTTTCTTGCCAATCTTTGTGCCCTTACTACTAATTTAGCATTCTTTAAACTCCACAGCCCACTAGAGTATTGTTACTGACCATGTCCATCCCTCTATAACCACAGTGCACCCATCTTCTAATGGTTGCTTCAAAGAAGGTCACAAAGCTCAAACAATCTCAAACTGGCTTTTTGAACATGCCAATGAGTTCACTGTACTCAACTGGTCTCCACAGTCACGTGCACCTTTTGGATGAGGCAGAACTGAAGATTTGCAGCTGACAAATGTGGATCAAATGTGTGATGTTATCATGTCAGTATGACAAAAAGTCTCTGAGGAATGTTCCAGCACCGTGTTGAGACCACTCTGATACTCACTGCTGCCAGTTTATCAAAGCGAGCAAACAGTTCATTGAGCAGCTTTACAAGCTCCTGGGCGCTGCAGGCTGAGGACAACTGGGTGAAGCCCACAATGTCTGCAAACAGGATGCTGCAATAAAAGTGGATGATTAAAAATAATGTAACACTTTCTTGTTGCAAAAAATATTGTGAAACAGATGTTTGATCAAATTAAAAAGTCATTTTTTTTAGTGATCCAGACCTAACGTTTTCATGGCGGTACATGTACATGGTGTTGAACTGCTGCTGCTGCCGGACTTCGTTCTGATTTGCCTGGTTCTTCATGCCCTGCAGCATCTCATCAGCAATGTGTTTGGGCAGGATGGACAGTAATAGTTCCTCCTACATAGAGCAAGATTTGAAAGAAGGTGCGAGATGTGAGAAATAGGAAAAGAAAAGTCATCCCTATTTCTGTATGTGTAAAGAAAGTGTACAAATTTACATTTTATTTTCCTCTTAGCTCTCAAGAATCCCGTCAAGTGGTCAGATATGCCCTAACTGGCTGGTTGTTTTCCATCTTTGACCCAGTCTCCCACTGAAAAGGCACGGTGGGAATACTATCTCTCCTCTGTCTCTTCCTTTGTCTTTTTGCCTCCCCATCCGTATCCACACGTCCCTCGCTTTTCACCATCTTTTCCGCCCCTTTTTCAAACAACTCTCAAGAGTCTGCTGTCTTTGTTTTGCAAATAGTCACAGGCAGGCGTGACAGTGTCTTAAAGGGAAGAATTAAATGCTTGGTGACAATAACTGCACATTTGTATCATCTTTCAATCTGTGATGATGGTGAGCAATTGCCAGTTTTTTTCGCAATTTGCGATTGCTGTTAGATACGTTACCACCGTTTCTTTAATTTAACACCTCTTCTAGCTGAGATAAGCCTTCATAACAGATTAATATTGATGCCACAGAAGGTAAAGCATGGCATAGTGGCTGTAAGGAACACAAAAGAGCAAGCTTAAAGGATTTAGAGCAAAATGGTGACCTGAATGCAGCTTGAGGTTTGATTAAAATGAAGAAGTAATAAACAGGCTAACATATAATAAAAAGTGTAAAAACATAATTCCTTTTTAAAATGCTTCATTGGGAAACACGTCCTCATGTCTGTTGGCTGGCAAAGTGCTAAAGGGACCTTATTGTGTCAGGTCCCTGACGGTGGCTGCGCTGGTGAAAACAACCGCCTCTCTAACAACCTATTAGTCCTGAGCTGAGCAAAACATCCTGTAATTAATTAGTGTGTTGCATCTCACCCTTCTATTTGTGTACTTGTGGATTTGTTTGGCCAAAAATAAGAAAATGTGTTCACTCACCAAAGAAAATGTGCACGTGGGTATGGGTAATATACCTGCTGAGTGCTCTGCTCCTCCAGTGTTAGTTTCACCTCCAGTGACTGACGAGCTTCCAAAAATGCTGTCCTGTACTTCCTGTCTGCCATGTAGTACGACATCACACCCACTATGATGGCACACAGGTACAGCACCACGTTGGCTAGCAACTGAAAAAGAGGAGAAAAGTGCCACAAAAGTGTTTGTGTGGACAATAATAATATGCATTATAATAAAGAGTATATTTATAAATATTATAATTTCATCATCATCTCAACTGCCGAAATGAATTTACCAAATATGGGCAAACAAAGCATTTATCTTAGCTTATATATAAGATAAACCTAACGTGTGAATATGATGTGTGTCTATATTGTATTTATATATGTTTATATTATTTCTACATTGAAGTGGATGCCAAATTTCATTTTTATTTGAGTAATGTACTTTTCAGTGACAATAAATTGAATCTAATCTAAAGATCAGTTTGTGGAAACTGACTTTTAACTTTAAGATGCAATTTTGTTTCCAAATTGCTCAAAACAACATTATTTGGGATGTAGTGCAATCACACATGGTGTATTCATATGCACTCTCATTATAAATTGAGACTGCGTTTAAAATAATATTATATCTGACTTTTATATATTTACCTTTGGGGCCCTAAAACCAAGTGTGGCAAAAAGACAATAAATGTGAATGGAAGGAAATTAGTTTGCATTAACAAAACACTGCACAAAATCGAAAAAACAAAGGGGTTTTATTTAACGTTGTGAATTATGAATTTATTTACTATGCATAATCCAAACCCACTTTACCTGTCACACCTCTCCACTTGGGTATTAGGCCCTGAAACAATGTGAGGCCCCTTAAATTTTGCACTGTTTGCATAATGGTCTTACTGTGGTGCTCTAGCCTGGTGAAGGGCTGGTGCAGCCTAGTAAAAAGAAAAACTTACAACATGCATAAATTTGGGTCCTGGATGGGAACCACTGCCCTAGAATCAAATGTACACACATCTAATATCACACTTTCTGCTTTTCTTTGTTGTTGTTGTTTGTTTTGCATTCACAAACGTTTTAAAGTCCTAGCTGCTTTATTCCTTGTGAGTTTACCAGACATTTACCTGTCTGACCAGCATCGCCCCCTGCGCGCCATCCTTAAACTTCTGAGCCACCGTGATCCCCAAAACCAGAGTGTGAATCCCGCACGAGAGGACAGCGAGGAGAAGCAGGGCCACCAGGTTCAGTGGCAAAGTTAGAAAGCAGGAGAAAATGAAGAAAGTCTGCCAGCCCACCGAGTCACTAGCATGTGGGAAGCGCTCGTAGTTTAGTCCCATGTAACACAAAACATGCACGGTGACCATCAGCCACAGTATGTAGGCCACTGCTCCGCGCCACACAGGTGATGCGGGGAGTTTCTGCAACCAGCACAACACGTAGAGCGCAACGTCCGCAGTCAGCCCCACAGCTGCCACCACCACCATCGCCAGTTTGTCCTCAGTGTACACAACCGCACACATGATGATGACGAAGCTGTTGAAGAGAGCGGCGAACATCACCAGCACTAGCAGGTTCTCCTGTCTCTGCCGACGGAAGTAGTTCTGATAGAGCCTTTCCAGCGACTCGGGGGTAAAGGTGAGGCGCACTGCGCGGGGCAGGCAGCGGCAGCAGCTGGACTGCACTACGGTCACTTCACGCCTCCGACCCACGTCACGGCCCGGATCACTGGAAACCTGGGCCGAGTACTCCACCGAGTACTCTGCAGACTGCTCCGTGTCCATTGTGCGGACCCGGTTCAGAGACATGCTTCTTTGTTAAAGGTTAATCCTCTTGGTTAGTGGAATACTGTTACAACACTAATGTGAAAATCCACGGAAAAGTTGTGACGTGCCCCATTACTGTTTGATTTTTTTTGCAGCTGACCGCATGATCAAAGTTTTCATGATTTTTAAAGGCTCTTCCAAACGAGACAAAAACATTTAAATCAGAAAATAACTCCATTCCATTCTTCAGTTCAGTCCCACCATGAAAAGTGGCTTACCTTTTAATTTAGAGTTAGTGCCTTCAAATACAAAAACACATTTAAGATAGAGGAGATTCTCAGAGCCTCTAGTTCCCAAGCAGGTGAAGTCTCGTTTGCCATTGTTGTAGATCTACTAAATCAATATCAATGCAAAATATAATATTTTCAGAGAGACTTCTGTAAGCTTTACTCTGGTTACTTTTATCTGCCTAAACACATCAGTTCTAAGATGCTCTTCCGTCTTCTGATCATTTTCTGTCTCTCTCCTGCCTCCCCCCTTCTCTGAGTGCTTCTGTTACTGTTGCTAAGACGAAACCAAAGAAACTGCCAGCGTGCAGTCATGTCTTGGGAAATGTGGTAGCGATGCTGTGAAGAGCTTAGAAAAAAAGAAGAAGAAAGAGGACGATTAAGGTCACTGAAATTAAAAAAAAAAGGAAAGCTTTCTAATGTTTTTATTTAACACTGGTATCCACAACAGCACGTTAAAACACAAGCATTTTATCTGTATAACAGATACCATGCCTTATGACACTGCATTTAATGTTTTTGCCTCAAGTTTTTTACTTGCAAAAATGCAACACAAGAACATTTACAGACAGATGTAAACTTAGGCGTCAATCAGTCTCTGTGAGCGTTTGTGGTTGGTGGTGATTTTCCTATCATGCCGCTTAGAGCGCTCCCCAAAGCCAACACTATGGCCGTTAGGACTCCCACAGTCCCCAGTTTCCCCAGAGCTGCAGTGCCCAGCGCTGCAGCCCCAAGTGCCCCGGCTCCAATAGGTGCTGCTGCTGCGGTGACCGTTTCCATGCCGATTTCTTTTATTAGCACAGGCCCCGTGAGGAGGCCCCTTTGCAGATTCACCTCAGTGTGGAACGGGCTCTTTGGTGCACCCAGAACAAATGCCCCTACTGCAACAAGGGTGATTGTTACAAGTTCTGATGCGGTGAACGGGCTTGCTTTAAGTAACTGGCATTCTGCTGCCACAACTGCACCGATGATGACAGAACCTAAAACTGCTAAAGTTGAATTCCTTGACTGAAATGCCTGTCTTGCTGCAACACTTGCGGCTCCAAGTGAGACCCCTGCAGCTGTGGCCGCCCCTAGCGTCCCTGCTGTGCTGCCTCTGGCCCCTAGAGAGGAGCTCCACTGCAGAATGGCTCTCAAGGCCACTGATGTCATTATAGCAACTCCCAAAGCGACCTTTCCAGCCACCTCTGGACCCAGTCCGACCATGGCCACAGTTCCCAGGCCAGCTCCAAGCAGCGCCGCAGACAGATAGGCCACCCAGAGGACTGACTGCAGCATCACAACAACCTCTTCTTTTGACCCGTCTACTGCTTCACCTGCCCCTAAACCCACAAAAAATCCCAGAATCCCCACAAAAACAGAGTAGAAGAATATTCTCTCCAGCAGTTTGCACCCAGTTTTAGATTTGGGTCTTCGAGGGACTGTTAGCAGCCTTCGAAGCACAAAGAGGACAACGATAGTCAGAATCATGCTAATGAGTCCAAAAAAGGCTCCCAACTGTCCATACACTACACTGAGGTATAGAGTGGTGAAGATGATCAACAGAGCTGTGGTCATGTCGTTAATGTTGGAATACGAGTAGACGAAAAGGACCAGAGCACCTTGCACCACAATGTAGATCCACGGTGGAAGGACACCCGCTAACAATCCAGTAGTGACAGCACCCACCACAACAGAGGCTCCTGTTGTGGCCTCTGCTAACCAGGGCAGTCTCACTCCAACTTTACTCAACAGTGTCATCACCATGGCAGCGAGGAGGAAACCACTTCCAAGACATAAGAGTACCGAGGTGAACACGAGGCATGCCGTCACTACTGCAACACCAGTGGAACCGGCCCGTCTAGCAGCTAGAGTTGCAACGTTAAGCAGGAGGCCATCTTCAGTCAGAGTGGGTTCAACTGCAAATAATGCAGCTTCTCCGAACACAAAACCTGCCGCTCCACTTCCAACGAGGGCTGACACCACACCAAAAACACCTGAAATAAAAAAAGGAGTTAAGTCAAGTACTGTCTACTGTTTTACACTTGAAAGCAAATGTAAGCACTTCTAAGTATATGCATTCAGTTTGTATTACTCTAGTAGTCATTTGGAATAAGGTTTCCTTTCTAGAAAAGTGTTTTCATCCCACAAAATCTTACCTGACTTCATAAAACATAAACAACCACTAGAAACTAAAAAGGGATTTGTTCCTCATTACATTACTTCTCTGTTATATTTAAGGGGGGAAAATAGAGTTGTAGTCAGAAGTTGAAATCCACTTATCATGGGCAAGCATGTCATAATCATTTTGGTTTTGTAATGATTTCTTAGCACGTAGCAATTTATTTTTCCAGGGTGTAATTATTGAGCAGCATACATTATTAATGACTGCAAATACAAGAATTGGGTGCACAAGTTTGAATTGAAGTTTGAATCTCGAGTCCACACAAGGCAAATATATACATACACAATCATCTTTTAATAAGTGGTGCTGAACGTCTTTACTTGAGAAGGTAAAGGCTTATCAACTTCTCGTTGGTGATCATGATTGACTATAACAAGCAATTTCTGTTTTCTAGCTTAAAAAGGATTTCTCTGACAGAATTCACTGGATTGACAAGTTGAGGTCTGTTAAAGCCATTTCTAAACAACCTCAGATTTCAAGTTCATCAGCTCAAACAATGCTATTTAAGTATAGAGTAAAAAGTGTCACCACTTTGCCAAGGTGTGAAAGAAGACCCAAACTGTCACCCTCAGATGAGAGGAAATAGGTTATGATTAGAGCAGGGCGATATGGCCAAAAATATTTATCACGATATATAT